GGGACATGGGCCCAGTACCTGGAGGAGTTCATGGCTGGCAGAGGTGGGACAGGACATTCCTGGGTGTGTGCAAGGGACCCTGCAGAGGGCTGTCACCCACTGGCTGCTCTCCCCATGCAGTGGCATATGGTTCCTGGTACAACCATGTCAAGGGCTACTGGGAGCGCAGGAAGGATCACCCCATTCTCTACCTGTTCTACGAGGATTTGAAGGAGGTGATGGGGCAGGGTGGATGATGGTGTGGGGCTTGGGGGGTGGCAGGAGGGGTGAGTGTTGGCCTGTGTTGCACAGGACCTCCGCCGGGAGATTGCCAAGGTGGCCCAGTTCCTGGGGCAGAAGCTGTCAGAGGAGGCTCTGGACACCATCACCCAACACACTTCCTTTGAGGCCATGCGGGACAACCCTGCTACCAACTACAGCAAGGTGCCCTCCGACCTCATGGACCACAGTGTGTCCCCCTTCATGCGCAAAGGTGAGTGGCTCCAAGGGGCCTCTGGCACACTGTCCCTCCCAGCCTCTGCTGAGCCCCATCTTGCTCGGCCACAGGCACCACCGGAGACTGGAAGAACCACTTCACCGTGGCCCAGAACGAGCGCTTTGACCAGGACTATGCGCAGAAGATGTCAGGCACTGACCTGTGCTTCCGCACTCAGATCTGAGGAGGCACTGCTGGACGCCCCCCAGATCCGCCCTGTGCTGTGATGGCACTGCTGCCATTCCTTCCTCTCCCCTGGGACTGCTGGAGAGAAATAAAATGTGCTCCCTGACTGTGCCTTGAGTTGCTCACTGCCCTGAGCCTGTGCTGATCCCAACCCAGCTGTCCCCCTGAGGCTGCTGTCCTCTTCTTGGGTTGGGGACAAGCAGGTGTCACCCCTCAGCTGCTGTGGTGGGGGGATTGCTAGCAGCAGCTCATGGGATTGCAGAGGGTTTTGGCAAATCTGTGTATGGGGAGCATGTTGGGTAGGTGTGGGCAGTGAGAGGTGTCCTCCCCAGCCTCACACAGTGGCATGTGGCCCGGGACCTGTGGGGGAGAGTAGGACTGGTGGGGCTGGAGATGTCCACTGTGGCCCTCCCTGCAGGTCAGTGGCTGCTGGTTTCTCCCTGCACTTGCTCCTCCCTCCCTGCAGCTGCTGGGCTGGCAAACATTACTGCCCTCAGTGCCCTG